AACTATTGCTAAAGGGTGTTGCGTGTTATTCTCGCCAGCTATCTTATCACAATGGAGATTTATAAGATTTCCATTGGACATTTTCATCTTTATCAGTTGTTTAATCTCCATTCGGATGAGATAGCTGGCGAGAATAACACGCAACACCCTTTATTTAAATGCTAAATGAACATTTTGGCCAAAAATCTTTGTCCAAAATTCAACCTTAATGATTGTAATAATTTTAATTACTCAACAATATAAATGTGAGTTACCTGGATGATTCAAGGAGCTGAAAAGGTGCACCTTACCCACCTTTATTCATTCATTTTGCATCTTTTCATGCTCTGTGGTAAACCCAATGTAACAAAGTTTTATCTCAAAATTCACCTTTTTTTTTCATCTTAAAACAAAAACTATTAAAACTCTTGTAGCCTTAAAACACACACAAAGTATTCACAGGCAAAGCAAACAAGAAAATTGGGCTTAACCGGTTTCGCGTTACTTTAGTTAATGAGAAAATTATCATGAAAATCAGTCAATTTGTTAATTCTGTTGAAACGCAACTCAAACGAAAGTTTCGTGGTTAAAATATGCGTGTCAAAGTTACGCATAATATAATTATAATGATAAACTAATAGCATTAGCACAGTGTTTAAATGTTTCATCTTGTTAAACAGTCTCTTGATATCAAACGAAATTCATCAAAGAAGATTTTCCATCATTTTGTTAGTTTTTTTTGTTCATCATGATAGAGCTTTACATGAAGAAGAAATCTTGATCTTGATTAAGCTCAATTCCATAATCAAATGTTATCAAACTGTAGAAGCAAAATTGACTCTGGAATTGGTAATTTCATAATTTTCAAGTCAAAAAATCATATTCAACTTATCATTGAATCTAACATTTGAAATTTCAAGTATTGATTTTTTTTCTTTATTCAACCTTTTTTATTACATTTGATTATAATTATAAATTGGAATCACTTTTAAACTCGATTTATCATTGAATCTAAATTGGTTAGCTTTTGAAATGTTTGTAACAATTTTCAATGTAATTTTGGAGGTTTCATTGAAAATTGAATCTAAATGATGTGTTGTTGATCATGATAATGATCATGTTGATGATGGTGATGATGACGGAAACTTGCTTAGTTAATGTATGTAATCATATAAATTTTAAAGCCAAAAAGGGCAATGATTAAGATGATTCAACATTGGATAAGGTTGATTGGGAAGAAGTTGAAAAATGTAATAAAATGATGAAAAAAGCATCAAAAATTAATACCTTAAGATGAGCTGTTAATGATTGTTGTTAACATGAGTTTCAACTTGATTGATATCAACTAATTGTTGTTTTTACATTAACAACTAATTTATTATTTGCATTATCTTAGCAATTAATCAAACATTAAGTTAAATTGATGAGATTTTTGATTGATTTTTTGGACAAAATGGTTTTACAATTGTTTCAGTATTTTCCTATTAAAATGTTTATCACATTGAATACAAATTGTTACAATGTAATCTAAATATCAAGTTAATTGTGACAGCTTTTCTCATGATAATGTTTTCACGTTTTCATTTTATCCTTTTGAATTAAGTCTTAATGTTCACAATTAACTGTTGATATTCATTTGGATTTATTTTAATCATTTGGCATAAACTTGAATTGTGTTTTACAATTGTAAAGATTTGAAGCCAAAAATAAGATTTACAACTTTGTCTAATATTATCATTTGTAAACTTTTCAGTTCCTGGTTCAACTGAAATCAATCTTATTAACCTTTCCATGACTTTAAAATGTAAAGCTTACCAAGCATTTAAAGCCTACACAAGAAGGATATTTACAAATGATAATCAGTTGCAATTGTTGGTTAATTTAGTTAACAATTAAGCCTACGAGAAACTGAACCTGATTAATATTTTCTTGTTTCAACCCAACAATTGTGATTCAACTGGGTGGCTAAACAACTGTGTTAATCTATTAATTGTTGTTGATGAAACGAAAAATTCAAACTGAGATTTATAAACTTTCAATTTTTTAATGATTTGTTCAATCTTGTTTCGTTCACAATTAAGCTTTATTTATTGCCATCAAGAAATAAATAGTGAACCATTTATCATTTGATTTAACTCCTTGTGGGATGAGCTTTTTGGGTGCTTGGAAAATTTGGCTTTTTTTTCGCTGTTGAGATGAAAATTCTGATCAAGATAATTTCAGATAACAGAGTATGAAGAGGTGGAGGTTGATGATGATGAAAAATGAAGTGACCAGAGGATGATGAACACAAGTATTCAGGTTCATGGAAGTAGTTTAGTCAAAAGATTTATCTCTTTGTTATAATGGCTTTTCCCTTGAATCTTTTTCCTTACCTTTTTTGAAGAAAAGTAAAAGTCTTTTTCAGCTTTTATCTTCTCCATGATAACCTTCAAGTTTCAGTCATTTCATCTCATATCAGCATCACAAGATAATTGTTTGCCACCAATGTTGACTCTAACGCTGAATTTGTCAAAATGTTTCAAAAATGTTTTTCATAATTATTTCCTTTCTCGTCTAGACATTCATTTTTTCACCTTTATCCAATCTCTCATGTTAATAATGTCAATTATTTTCTGAGGTAAAGGTGTGAATGCTGTATGTATGACGTTTAATTACGATTTAAAATAAAAATGCAAAACAATCCGATGATGAAAATCAAAGCTGACTCGCAAAGACAGTTAAGCCTTCAATAATACAATAAAAGTGATATAAGAATCAAATCAACTTTGCTAATCATTATTGTTAGCAATACAGTGTTTAGATGTTACCAACTCTTTATCACTATAATAATGCAAAATAACTCATGATTTAGCGCAAGTTTTTCCGGTCAAGCGTCAAGTCTTCAAGAAATGTTTAATCTTTGATTTAACCCAATATTTGGTTGAAACCAGATTCTAATAACTATAATATTGTTACTCAAGATGTGATAACCTGTTGATTGTTTTCCCCTTTATTTACTTTTCTTTGTTCCTGATTATGAAAACTTACATAATGCATCAATCATCATCTGATTAACGATTGATTATCACTGTCTATTGGAATAGAATGTCAATCAAAATATTGATTCGGCCAATTTAGGTGTTTCATATCCAGTTATCTGGTTCATGTTTGCTAACCAAATAATATTTGACAATTTAAATTGATGATCACAATTAGCAGATTACTAATTGTACCTTCACTAATCACTAATCAATAGGTTCTCAGTATCTACATGCAAGTTCATGTTTGAAGGTTGAAATTTATAAAAAAAACTGGTTAACTGATTGAACATGTCAAAGACTGGAAAAATGATCATTGAAAGATTTTCACATTTTTCCCCTTTTTCCATGTTGATTACAGTTTTACATGACCTATTGGTTGTAAAATGAAAAACCAGAATCAAGCATAAACCCTAGAAACCTCTTGAAAAGTATATCTTGAATGGTTACCTCCAATCAACGTCAGTCAATCATCATCTAACCCATCTTATCATTATTATTGCAATCATCGTAATGATAATGATTATGATATTTTTTTATTATCATGATTATTAGAATCATTGAAAGTAAACCTCAAATTAGGACTAGGAATATAAGGAAAAGTGGAAAGCAAAAGCGACTAATTGGAGTAGATGAAAGAAGGAGAAAAAAGAGAAGATTTTTATCCATCTTTCTTTATCCTCCTCATCCGTTGTATCATCACTTGTTGATGATCAACTTTACCGCCTCTTCATCCTCTTCCTTCTTTGCCATTCAAATAATGAAAGATAACAGAGCATTTACTGTCAAAATAGTATAATATCATGATGTTACTGCTTCTCAATCCTCTTAATAATTCATAATAATTATAATAATACTATTAATAGTTGATGCTTTTGTACACCATTCAGCTGAAAACCAGAAAAGACCTGAAAAATTGAAAGCAACTTCAACCCTTACCAGAGTCAAACCTGTCAAAGTGTCAATAAAAAGCTATCAATTTTGGGCCATTTCTTGCTGAGCTGTTTACTTGTTGTTACACCTTTCAACTTTGAAAGTTAAAAAACACAAAAAAACAAGTTAAAACTCAAAAAAATTTAGCCTTTTTTTACTAACAAAATACAGTCAACAGGAAAAAAAATCATTGTCTTAGGCGTAAACCATTTGTTTGTAAACAATTGAACAAAAAAAGCTTTCTCTTGATCGCTTTTTGCTTATTATTTTTTTTGTGTACATTTTTGGTTGAAAATCATTCACACAAAAAGATAATATCAACATGATGAAGATGCTTTTCATTTCACTTTTTGTTCAATTGAAAAGCAAGAAATGAACTTAGCAGTTCATTGCTTTGAGTTGAAAAAAGCGCGTTATGCTTATGCTTTTTTATTCAACGCGTTTTATGCCTTTCACTTTCAACTCAACACATTTTTCATCCTTTCACAATGAAAGCTTCAGTTGATTTTAACTTAATTTTTAACAGATCATTATTTGTTGAAAACATTTTAATAATAATATAATAATCATACATCAGATATAAATGTGACTCAAAATGAATATTTGTTTTAGTGGTTAACATTTTTGATCGTTTTTGATGCATTTTAGATGCAAATTGAATTGATTGCAATGGTTTATGTTGGTTTTGTGAATCTCTTATGCTTTGGTCAATACATACGATGAAGATGAATTTCATTTGAAGGTTAATGTAAAATTAGGAAGTTTTTACCTTCTGACTCTTGTTTTAAGTCTTAGGTAAGAAAAAAAGAAGAAGAATCAACAAAATTCTTATTATTTACTCAGCTTTTTTTTCATTGTTCATCAATCCTTCATCTAAGATTGGGAATGATGAATGTAATGAATGCAATGTTATCTCTATGTAAACAATGATATCATCTTGTCGTTTGACTGGCTTTTGTAAGGATATTAGAAATGAACTTTAATTTTGCTTGCTTATTATTCAACATTTGTCAAATTGTGATTCTAATGGTCTTTGTTTTTGTTTCTTTTTCTTATCTCTTTTTCCAGGAAACAAAGAACGTCTGGTCTTGTATTTTCTGGTCTCATTTTTGGGAACCTTTTTGACCATTTTTCTAGTCTTATCCATACGTTTGTATGTTCAAAAACGCCGAGCTATTCGTTTACTTAAGGAAACAGCGCCTTTGGTCTCACCTATATCAGATATTTCCTATGAAGCCCACCGGGACACTACATTAGATCCACTGGATATAAGTGTACCCACCAGTCAAACAACATTAAATCACGGACCTAATGGTCACCATCAGCATCACCATTTACATCATTCTCATGCCCATCAACCACACAGATACCCTCATCCTTTGACAACCACTTTAACCTCCGTCGGTGGGGGCGGACATACACAGACTCACCTTGATAGTCAATATCAACCTTTACTGGTCTCACCTCGACATCATCATTCACATTCACAATCTCAATCACCCCAACAATCGTCTCGACAAGATTCCTCTACACTCAATAATTCATTGTCTAATCAAGCAAATACATCAAATAATAGCTCTAATGCCACTAGAAACGCTGACAGTAACAACAGTCCCAATAATAATTTAATAGTAAATAGTAATATCACTAACAGCCTTGTTAATAGCAACGATAATGATAATTTGACGCCACCAATTGATGATGCTCGACTATATGCAACTGTACCATCATCAAGCCAACGACGAAGTACAAGAGAATCATCATCACCTCGAACAATTACCACAATATCAAGCGATAATAGTCCAAGAACAACACTAGGATCGCTAAATAATCCTCGAAGTAGCTCAAGACCGCCAAATGAAATCATAATTGGCTATTCCTAGGAGATTCTTGGAAGCAAATTATGATTGATTCATACAAACAACTGTTTTATGCATTTACTTCTGGAAATAAACAGATACTAAATTACTTCATCAGTTGAATGACAATTATCCAGTAGCATTCCAGTTTGCCGGATTCGAATTGTTCATTATGATTCTCACATCACAGGAAAATACTTCCCATTAACCGGTTATCACTATTTACCAATTATGGATCGTTTACCATCAGAATGAATTATTGGCTTATGGTTTCCCAAATAATTAAACGGATTTCCTGAACAAATGTTTCATTGAAAGTATTAACATCGTTCGCATCTCAGTCAAAACTGGTAACCATCAATCTGGTCAACAAATTGCAATTGTAATTAACCAGTTAACTCAGTTACCTAACTGATCAATTCATTAATTGCCATCAACTAAAAACAAGCTATAAAATTGATTATTGCTTTTCTACTCCAACCTTGTGTTCAATAGCATCAAATCTACCTCCTTTTTTTGTATCATCTTTACCTCAAATCTTTGCCTTCTCGCCTTGCTGATGAAAAACAAATTAATTGGTTCCCGATTGAGAACTAATTTGGTCAATTACTACTTATCCTAATTGTCCGTTTAATCAATTGACTTTGTTTCAATGAAATTATCTCAATCAACTCTGTTGTTTTTCTTTTCCTTCTTGCACCATTTCACCTTGCCATTCATCATTAGTAAATTAAGATTAACTATTGAAATTTGATTACATATTAACAGCTAAAAGTATAAAATATTAATTAATCAAAATCGAATGTAATTTATTAATAAATTTATAAAGAGTTTATCTGAAATGAAGCTATTTATATACGTTATCCGTACTCTGTTGTATCCAATTTATTTACAAATTATCAATTCAGGTGTAAAATAAAGTGAGAAATGTACCAAATTGATATTCAGACGGTTCCGTCTAATCCTTTTACATGGTCTTTCCAAGGTAACAATGAGAATACAATATTTTCTCAGACAATTGTCCCTGGAATTATTTATGGTTCATTCATTTTATTTAATAATTACCAACCAAAATCGCTGAATTATTTAGAAAGAGAACACAATTTATTTATTCTTCAGTGGATCATAAATATTTTGAAGCCTTAAATAAAACAAAAATCAATAAAAACCATCCATCTTAAGTCTGTACCAATCTGAAAATGTTATTGCAGCTGATTGCTAAGGACATCAGCCTTCCAATTTTTAACATAAAATATCGCTTAAAAAATTAATAAATCAAAACACAACAGGAATCATAGCAATACAGCAAACAGGTCATTACTGGTCACTTTGAAATACCCAAATCCGAAATGGAAAAAATCAGCAAAGAAAAAGGTTAACCAATATGGACCACATCCGATCTCACCACTGTTAAACTGTTAAAAGTTCATTAATGTAACGAGTCATTAGGCTATTCCTTATTCTCCTAAGTCTACTACAGAACTACTCAATCAACTGAAAATTTATGAATAATTTACTCATCTTTCTGAGCTTACCAATTACATAGATTAGACCAAATAGTCTATCAAAAAGTCTAATAGTGTTAGACCTTTTAAATCCTCATACATGTATTTGTCTCAATCTTTTATAACATTTCATGTTCTCAAAGAACTAAAATGAACGACGATAATTTTTAAAGGTTTTTTTGCATCATGAATTTAGATTTTAATGACTTGTTTGTAATGATATTTCCAACATATCTATCATTGTTCGTCATATTATTTACATTTTCTCATAAAATAGATATGTTGAGCAAAGTTAATGTAACAAGAGCTAAATATCATCTAAAGATGGTTTACAATATAAAAAGCGATGAAAGTTGGCAATAAATATTAAAAATAATGTAATATTGAAAATTCCAACAGTTATAAGGCAAATTTTCCGATGTGAAACTGATAACAGCTTTTTGAAAAATAATCATTGCTTTGAGCTCGTTAAAAATATCAGATTTGCAAGAGTTATGCATATGGTGAAATATTTGACTAGAATTTACTTGTTTACTCAAGTGTGGTAGATGAATAGTTCGGACTGGGTGCTGACGAAGATAAAGTGGAAGATTCGGCATTCGCAGCATCACGATTGAGAGTGTCTTTGGTAAAAAAGCCTGAAATTAGAGCTATCACCAGCATTAAAGCAATAGGAGCAAAACTGTATAATAAATTATAATTGTGCAGAAGATAAGATATTGCCTCGGTTGAACCCCAACTGACTCCTTGATTACAGAACATAAGAAGAGTGGCGCAAATGGATTCTGACATCGGATAGTTAGCCTGGACAATGAAATCCATTCCGATTGGGTAAGTACCTTCTACAACAAGGCCAAGACAAAGAGTTACAAGAAAAGTTGCGATCTTATTCTTGATTTCCAATGAAAAGATGAACAATCCAAATAATGGAAACAGCAATAAACATATGACCAGGGTAATCAGTTTGTACTTTCGGGTTTTATCGGTTATCCAAGCCAATGTAGCAGACCCAGGGATACTTAAAACTGCAACAGCAGCTCCTGTGATACCAATGAAAGAGTTATCTCCAGGAAAATATCTCTCCATCATTGGACTCAATAATGAAAGAAGGACGTTAGTTATTGATTGGAGTAAAGTATAGCTGATCAAAATATAATTAGAGTTCCGATTTGTGATGATGGATTTCCAAGCGCTAAAAAATCCGGTTGCGTTGACAGAAGCTTTGACTGAAGCAAGACTTGGCGGATATTTAGGTTTATTTTTGAAAAAGATTAAATTCATGAAAAAAATTATGCCAGCCGAAACAGTAAAAATGAGGTGAAATCGTTTCAAGTCAGCTTCCTGAACCTCTGGTTTAGTATCATTGGGAACTAGAACTGTAGGTAAAAGGTAACCCAGACCACCTCCAATGTAAATGGGAAAAAGCGCAACTGCTGTAATGGTTGAAGCTATCTCTGCTGGGAACCAAGTTGAAGCAATACAAACCGGTAAGAAAAAAGTGAAAACTTGACCAACAGAAGCTAAAGCTTGGCCGAAACAAACAAGAACGAAGTTTGTGTAAATAATGGAAAGGTATTTGATACCCGAACCTAGAAGGTTAGCCAGAGAAGCACTTAAAATACAGAATCTTATTCCAATTTTGTCCAAACAGATAGCTGATATGAAACAACCAGCCATGTAGACGGGATACCAGATTGTTACGGTTAAGTCCAAAGCGGAGTTGGAAACATTGAAGTAGGCACGACAAACGTCAGCAATGACCTGGAATTGTGTCCATTGTGAATTAATATGTAAAACAGTGACACAATGAAGAAACAGGATTAAGAATCGCAGCTTTGATAACCTAATTTCCATGATCTTTGCACCAAACGGTTTACGAGTACTTAAAATTACTAGTTTTACACAGATATAAGCGTTGAGATACCAATAAGTTCACAGTTGATCAGAATAGTTGTTACTTTTCCATGTTACTCTGAAAGAACCTGAATCGTCATCAATTCATGTGGCAATGATTAAGATCAGTTTTTATCATAATAGAAATTCAAAGTCAGAAGTATCATGTCAGTTTAACAATTTCAGATAAAAGTTTCAGATCCTCCAAATAAATCTTTTGACCATTAGTTACTCTGACTTTATTTAAGTAATAAGTTGCGACCATATATGACCACCAAATTGTACTCGAGTCTCGTTAATCTAGGGACAAATTAAAAGAATTAGAAATTAGAATAAAATAATAAATAACTTATCATGGAAGAAAATTTGTTTGCACTAAAGAAGTAGTTAAAACCAAGGTTTTATTTTATTTCACAGAGAAACTCATTATTCGCATGCAAAATCAAATGATGTTCTATGTGGTTATTTAAAACACATTAATCAGATAATTAATCTCACACCATATTAATCATGAAAAGTGGTATTTCATGAAGACTGAAATTTCCTTTCAATTTACGTACAATAAAATACACCAAGAGTACAATGCGACTAAAAATTAGGTAACAATGTCATGCTGTAGATAAAAAGCATAAGTTTGAACTTATCATGATTTACCTTTGAACATAATATTGATGGTAATCGGATTGGAACGCAATGTTAAACCGTAGACATAATTTTTGATTAGAAAGGAATTCAAAAAATACGATCAGGTAAAATAATAATTCAAAATGGAAGAAAATACATCGACAACAATAAACAATTGAAGTAAAAACGGTGAAATTTACCAATGGTGATACGATTAACTTCACAATGAACAAAATAAACTAAAACTTTGTCATCTCATATGAATCTGAGCTGTGTTTTCGCACAACATCGAAATAAAGGTGGAATAATGATCATGACATAGCGGAAAATACTGCTTAAGTGGCTCATAAATTAATACCAATCAAAAATAAATCACAATTAATACAAAAAGATCACAAAAGTTGTTAAAAAGCATAAAAATTATTATCAAAAAGAGTCATCAAACATATGCTTAAGGGAGGGATAATGGTTTGTGTTAATGTTTCGTTAATCGCCATCTTTTGTACAAAAAAATAACTCAAATGAAGTTAAAGTTATTTAATTTTTAATTAATGAAATTTAGATTACAATTGAAAATAAATTTAAAATGCTAGAAAATTTTAATTGTTAATGTCAATAAATATATTGCTGGGTTGAAAGCTGAGCAAGACTCTTCGTTTTTAGCCAGTGATTTGACATTTATATTTGATAACAAACAAAATAATCGCGTTCGAAGTTGAAACTTGCAAAGCTTTTTGTAAAATTATGGAAGCAAATTTTTTCATCAAACTCATAGTACTGATGTAACTTTTGATGACCAACAAGGAAATGTATTCATTTTGAGAAATAGAACTTTGCTATTTGTGTAAAACAGATAAGTTCGATCTTCAGTTGAACTGACCACTTTCGATGACCATAGGAGCTAGAGATCTAAAACTTATTATTTGTCCATAAAAATTGTTGGCTCACATTATGGCTCAAATAATTTTAGTAATTTATCAATAGTTTTCTTGTTTTTGGCCATTTGCCTTAGAACTTTGAACCGCAATATTTCGAGAATGGCATCACTTATCAATACAATCATTATCTTTCCCCAATTCAATGCTTCACCTATTAATGATTCAATTCAGTTGAATAAATTTCTATCAGCGCATTTGGGTTATGAAATTTCGTCTGTAAATGTACTAGAAAAAACTTAATTAACAAACAAAGCTCATCTCAACCCATTTCTTGTTAGATGAACCAATTTTCTGGTTAAAGTTGCAAATGAAATGCAAAGATTGCTGCAAAAGACTCGAACATTTGAGTTAAGAGTTGAGACTTGGTGTGGCCTGTAGGGACATAAAAGCTGAGTCCATTGTTGCTCTTAAATAATTCATCCGATGGATAGTTTACTAGAAAATCAAGGTTCAAGTTAAAACTTCGATCGCCTTTTGTGCAATTATGGAAGCAGATTTTTTCATCAGACTCATTTAACTGATGAAACTTTTAATGGTCAACCAGAAAATGCTCTTATTTTGACAAATAAAACTTTTCAGTTCCTGCAAAATAGATAAGTTCACTCTTCAGTTAAACTGACCGTTTTCGGTGACCATATGAGTTAGAGATCTAAAACTTATTATATTTGTCGATAGAAATTGTTTGCACAAATGATGCATCGAATCATTTTTTTCTCTTGTTAGTTCTCTTGATATTAGCCCTTGGCCTTAAAATTTTAAACATCAATATTTCGAGAATGGCCTCATATACAGTCACCATTCTTTGACCAAAGATTAAATTTCATTATGGACTATAACAGTATATGACTGAATACTGAACAGAAGCTGAGCTAAGCCATTGAATAATGAAGATCCTTCTAACGAATTTGTGTTTACCTTTATAAATCAAGACTCAAATCTGACAATAAAAATAATATTAATAATACAATGCTATAACTTTTTTTGTAGAATCTTCAATAATTTAATATTTCAATATATTGTAGTCCATAATAAAATCTAATGTTTGCTCAAGAACGGTCATTGTAGATGTTACCATTCCCGAAATATTGAAACTCCAAGTTTTTAGGCCAATGGCTAAAATTACAACACTGTAACCCTCCGTTGCTACTCTTAAATAAAGTCACAAGAACTCTACTCTTGTGACAAAAATGTCTGGTGCAATAAAACAATAGAATGCATAAGAGGGGAAAAAAGTTGCAAAAAAGGAAAGAGTGACCCTTGACCCTTACTGGCCAAAATGTACAGTCACCCTTCTGAAACTGCACTTCTCGTGAAATAGCTTATTTACACTATTGGTCGGGCAACATATTTCACGATTTTCAATCTTCCTTAATAGACCAAATTTAACCTAAAATGTTGCTTTAAGCTGATTTCTCGAGTTCTTGGATTGATATTTCAAGAAAGAAAATTGAATCAAAAATCGACGAAATGCGAAAGCAGATCTAACTCCTTCTTTATAGGGACCATTGAAAAAAATAAGTGCAGTTTCGGAAGGATGACTAACTTAAAATTTTATTGCTTTTTGTTTTTTGGGCTCCTTTGTTAGTTCGCAGTTGATTCTTTCTTCCTTTTTGTCTTTTGGACTTTTCAATTTTTGTTTCTAGTCTTGCGATTTTCATTTCAGCAACAAAAAATTTCAATTCTCAGTTTTTCAATACTTTTTTGTGATAAAATCAAATTTTTCAATTAGTTGTTTTAATAAATTAGTGAATATGGTATGAACAGTAATGTTTTGGACTAATTTTTCAAAATTAAATTGCGACAGTTAGACTAGACTTTCAGGCACCATTTAACACCCAAAATAAAGCTAAACTTGCCAAAAATGTGTTGTGAAAAAATTAATTAATTTCGGGCAAAATTTTTCAAGTTATGGCCTTAAATGAAGAAAGGCGTCAAAATCTGATTTTACCTTTCGTTAAAAAACCATTTATTTTCAACTTCATACCAGGGTTCTGACGATTCGAAAAATGGGCGAATTTGGCCTCAAAATTGTTCTAAAATATGTAATTCACCTGATATAGTTCAACATTAATCGATCACAAAGTCCAGGTCTATTGTGTATTTTTATTGGATTACCATACAATTTTTGCGATAAGTTACTTTTTTGCAAGTTTTTACAAAAAAGCAATAAAGTGGCCAAAAAATGAAAGGGTCTTTTTATTGCTCTGTAGCATGGACCTATGACTGTGATTGACAATAAACCAAAAGCAAAAATCTATAACTTTTTTTTTATTATTAAGTTTTGAAGTTGAATGAGCACAAAAATCATAAGAGTAGCAACGGAGAGTTAAGAACTGTTGTTGGATTGAAAAAAGCGTTCAGTCGTTGATGTGTGCGAAAAATATTTACATGAGCGTTTCACCGATGACAGAATGCGATCGGTTTAACTGCAAAATGAAATTGATCTTTAAGTGCTTTTTGTGGTTGATCATCAAAAGATAAATTAGTAAAATAAGTTTCGAGAAAAAATCTGCTTGTATAGCTGAACAAAAGGCGATCGAAGTTTTAACTTGGACCTAGATTAGTCCAGTTTTAAATTGACGAGGGTCGGTTTTTCGTGGAACCTCTTTCAAAGAAAAATTTATCAAATTCGTTTTTTGAATGATTCCAGCCAAATTCAACCATAAGCCACAACTTTCTTGGCTCTTAGCTGGAGCTGGCTCGGGCCAAGCGAAGCTAAAGACTAGAAATTTGAACGAGCTGGTTAAATTCAGCTGACTTTGGTAGCTATTTGTTTCTCGACTGAGCAAATAATCGATATCAAGTGAGGCATATCGATGATATCGTGAGAAAAAAACATCGATCGTTATTATTGTAAGCGATAACATCGTGCATTACTGCATTCCAGTGAAATTTGAAACATTGACGCGCATTAAAACAGAAAAGCGGCAAATTTTATAAATGTGGCAAAATATCAACCGTTTACACTGTTACTGTTCTGGGTAACTGAAACTGGAAACTGTTATGAGTAATTATGCTGACTGTTTTTCTTTAACTATGTTACAAATTAATTGAGATGTTAATTAAAAAATGTAGCGAAAAAAAGCAGAGCTGTAAATTGAAACGATAAACATTTACTGCTTATATTATTGTAATTTAGATGGAAATGAAACAACAAATAATAATGACAGATTATGATGTAATTTGTATTTAAAAAATTTGATACAAGACGATATTATCTATCGTTTGGATTACAACATGTTGACTTACAAAACGTGAGTGTTATCTAAAAATCAATGTAATGAAAATCTATCGATCAATTAAAAAGGCCTAAAGTTACTTTGCTGATCATCTGTGATAACAATCCAAATGTTCAATGCTATCTTCCATTCGACAATGTTGTTAAATTAGTTTGTCCAAGTCGACTTGTTAAATTAGATGGATAAATTAAGGATAAGTTAAGGTTCTATAATGATTGCTTCAAATCCTTATAAATTGTCTTGAAGTATCACGTTTAGTGGAGTCTTCTGACTTGTCCGATACACAACTCTCGGATAGAAAAAATTTGATTGAAGAAAACTCTGCATTTAATGGCCGAGATTCATTCATTTTTGATATAGGAGAAGTGGCTAGAGCAAGTCTAGAGAAGTTGTAGACCATGATGGTGAATGGAGAAACAGAAGGCATAGTGAAGATTTGATTAGGGATTGAAAACTTGACCATTTTGTTGAAAATAGTAGTTTAAGCGGTGGTACTATTAATTGATCGACGGATTGGAGTTTTGCGAGTAACTGATAGTCTTTTTGGCATTTGAAAAATAAGTCTTGGAAGTCAATTTGATGGTTGAGATCAGAAAAGATACTCCTCAGTTTGTTGTGTGAATATGAAAATGAAACAGAACTTTACAGAAATCCCTTGTACAACAAATTATCGTCGTTTAGCCGATTCGTTCACCTCTAATGCGCAATGCTAATTGCATGTCCCTAGCCATGATGGTTATTCTTTTAGCATGAATAGCACAAAGCTGTGTGTCCTCAAAAAGACGGACAAGATAGGCCTCTGCAGCTTCTTGAAGAGCACTGAGAGCAGCTGATTGAAATTTGAGTTCCTCGTATTCAAACTGATGAGCAATTTCACGAACCAAACGCTGGAATGGTAGTCTGGGCACCAATAACTCGGTGCGCTTTTGGTATCGTCGGATTTCTCTTAAGGCAACTGTGCCAGGTCGATATCGATGTCTCCTTTTTACACCAGCATCCGCTGCTTCAGCAGGTTTAAGGCCTTTACCGGAGCCTTTGCCCCGTTTGGTTTCCAATTTACGTTTCAAATCCTTCCATGGAGTAACTGATTTACGAGCCTTTTGAGGAGGCTTCATTTGCTGTTTGGTTCGCGCCATGGTTATAAACTACCAAAAAGGTTGTTGGCTCGGTCCGAGGAAATAGTACAGGGAAAAGATAGATGAACAGAATGAATATTCTTTAAAAAGGGATAAATCCAGGTGTAACTAACGCTAAAAAAAGCATATACTGATGGTACTTATGAAGTAGAATTCTAGTAACTTAGGTCTTAAATTAGAATTGGGTTAAACACAAGAGTGAATCAGAATGGAATAGAAAATCTTGATGAATGATAAATCGATCTCATTGTTGAATATAAATAAATAATCGATTAATTGAATCGATTGTAATGGTTTTAGTTTGTCGAGCGCTAGAGAGCGCTTTTTAAAAATAGTTTTTGAATTTCATAGTTTAACGGCTATTACGTTCTTTTGCCTGCTCTTGATATATTTTCCGTTTTTTAAATCAACAGTTCGTTAGTTTTTTGATTTTGTCAAGTCTATTACGATGGAAAACCCTAAATTGGTAGAATGTGTGGCTGGTAACGCTGATGATACCTTGCAAATATTAGATTTGGCTAACCTCGACGTTTCATTAAACATTGCTCCAGCTACAGTTTCTGGTTCCTCAAACACATCCTCATCGAAAAGTATGCTCATCAATGATAAAACTGGCAAAGAACTTTCCTGTTACACAACTGATTTCTCCAGTTGCGATGTGATGGACATGGCTTTTGTCGGATCTGCACTGGACCAGTCTTCAATTGTTGTCGAAGAACCAGAACAATCCATAATTGAAACAAAAAGTGATGAAGTGACCGACTCAAAAGTTAAAGATCAAGAACAAAATCAAGATGAAGGACAAGACGTTATTGAGGAATTTACTGAAGCTCCTAGTGTTTTACCAATCAATACAGATGATTTTCTTGTTGAAAATAAAACTGCAGACTTGATAGAGATTGGTGATCTTATTCAACTTTCAGATTCATCAATAGATCCAGATGTATGTGAATCAAATGACCGATCAATCTGTGAATTTGAAACAGTTCAAAGTAAAACAATAGATATGGTTACCGATACTATAGCAGAGGATATTGAACTAATAAAATTTGATGACTCGATCCAGTTAAAATCAGAGCCTGAAAAGGATAATGTGATAATTTTGATATCAGAAGATGGAGAGGAATTAAAAGAATTAAGCAATTCCTCAAGTTCAGAATTCCCTAAAGAAAATTATTCAAATGAAGATGAAGAAAATCGTCAAGTTGGATCTTCTTATGATGATAATGATGAAGTTTTCTGCTCTGAAAATGGCCAAGGTGAAGTTGAAGAAAATGAGCAAGAATCAGGAGAAGTTAAGTTATTGGATATAACTAATTTTGTTTTTTCGAGCCCTGCACCACCAACCGAAAGAAACAAATCTCTTGGTAATAATAGCTCTCTCAATTTAATGGACATGAGCTTATCGAAGTTGAGTAAAGATGAAAATAAGGACAAATTTTCTACTCCTAAGCCATGTCTCAAATTCTCAAGCAATACTTCTGGTGATGATGGTTCAGTAAGCAACACCACTAGCTATTCTAGACGGAAAAGCAAGTCTGTTAGCTTCCAAAGTCCTGGAATTTATTTTTCAAATGTCAAAAGATTATCAGTTATTCGCAAAACTCCAATCCGCCGATCAATTAATCGTACCACCGGTAAAACAACTAAAACTCCAGACTCAGCTATTTTCAACAAGATGGTCAAGTTTTCAACTCCAAACAAAATCTTCACTACTCCGTCTGCTTCTCCATTCACCACCATGGTTAACAAATTCTCTAGACTCGCTCTTGCTACTCCTCCTACATCCAAAATGAATGAATCTCGGCCATTAAATGAAGAGTTTTCTTCAATCAACTTGGTTCTATCCGAAAGTTGTGAATCGGACAAATCAGAAAACTCGACTAAATGTGATACCTCAGAACAATGTATAAGGATTTGAATCAACTTATTATTTTCCACTATTATTGAAACGTAACTTATCCTTTAGTCAGCTCATTTAACAAGCTTGTCGAATGGAAGATAGCGTTGAACATTTGGATCGTTATCACAGATGATCAGCAAAGTAATTTTGAGCCTTTTTAATTGATCGATAGATTTTCATTCCATTGATTTTTAGATCACACTCACGTGTTGTAGGTCAACATGTTGTAATCCAAACGATAGATATTGTCGTCTTGTACCAAATTTTTAAATACATATTGCATCATTATCTGTCATTATTTGTTGTCTCATTTTTATTTAAACTAAAATAATTTAGCTGGAAATGATAACTGTTTATCGTTTCAATTTATAGCTCTGATTTTTACGGTACATTTTGAAATTAACATTTCACAATCAATTTGTAACACCGTTAAAGAAAATCAGTCAGCATAATTACTCATAACAGTTTCACTCAATTTAATATATGGCAAGGACAAATAATGAGTGAATTCATGATTTTATACATAAGTAACGTTTATGTTAATGAATTTACATATTGTTTTTAATCAGCCTAACTGATTGAAAAACAGAGTACATATTTTACACATAAAGTTGTTTAGAAGAACATCAAGTCAGGAAGAATAAGAATTACAAGAAAGAAAGATTAAAGAGTGAAATAGTGAAGGAGGAAGAGAAGCAAATCGAAGCGAAATAGCTCAAGGTGTTTTCAATGAGTTATGCTTCAAGTTGTCAAGTTTTTTTGCATTTAATTAAACCTATTAATAAGGTTTTGTTTTTAAGATTAAACAAGTAAGCTTGAAGTCCTTTAAAGTGATGAAGATTTAAAAGCACAATTGCTATTACAATATTAGTTTTCTGTTGACTATCTTGAAAGATGAATGCTTCATTACAGTCAGATGTTTGAATGAAACTGAAAAAATGGTGGCCATCGATTGTACATTCATCTCGAATCTTTTCTTTAAATTTTAACATCGCCTCCGTCATTTTTTAAGATTATAGATAAATATATTATATCTTTTTCTGTGTAAATTTTGATTTTTTTGCATTTTCTTTCTTTTGTCTTTTTTTTGTTTTAGCAACAACTTTTGTTGCTAAGGAGAGAATAGTCTTCATCTTGAAGGGTGAGTTAAAATAGATGAAGATTACGTTGAATTTTTATCCAAAGGTTTCTTGAGATGCATAAACAACATACAGGAAGCCATCTTCGTCTCGTTGTCGTTCATACAAAAATCCCATTGGCGTTGAGTTGGCAACCATGGATCGACCATTGACAAGAAGGAAGAATGCTTGATTTGGATGAAGAGCTAATCGACGTCTGATTATTTTAACCAACTCAGAGACAGGAAGGTGATCAGGTACCAAGAAACGAGTTTTATCAATCATGGGCAACTGCTTCTCATTGCGAAACCTTTCGATAAGCACAGGAACCTTAGTGGCATAGGTGCGTCTCAAATTTTCAGATTGCTTCTTGCGCTCGGCTGGAGAAATTTGTGAAAAGAAGAACAGAGAAAATAAGTAAAACAGGTAAAAATGAAAACAAAAAAAGAGACAGAGACGAAGACAGAAAAGAGGAAAGAGATAGAAAGAGAGAAATGAAGGATAAAGGTATAAAGCTAATAGTGGCTAAAATAATGAAAAATCTTTCACTAGAGTAAAAAAATCTGTACACCAAATAAGATTTAAAACAGTGGACATAATACAAAAAACTATCAATTAAAGAAACATTAGGAAAAAACTGAGAAAACTGATGTAAACAAAGGGAACAAAGAGAAGGTAAGCCTTGTAAATGATGTAAACAAAAACATTCTCAACATAAAATGAAAGCTTAAATGTATTCAGTTTACTTACCAAATGATCGAGTTTGTTTAAAAGAAAAAGATTGAATATCCATGGTGTATTTAGCCAATCGAGAATGTTAATTAAGATGAGAAGGTACAATTAACTAATTAAAATTGTAGTCTAAACCAATCAATACAAACGGGACATTAATTTCCAAAGGAAAATAGCAGAAAGAACAAAATTGTGAGTGAGTTTGTTTTCAATGTTATCCTTACTTTCCCTCTTCTCTCTCTCGCTTCTTCCCCCTCTTTACTTGAGTCAACCAATGACGTCATGTAAAACGTCAGTTTAAAAAAGTCCAAAAAAGATTCAAATTTTTTAGTAGCTTGGGCTAATAAACAGTAAGGATTTTTAACTTGTGAGTGGTTTCAACTGGGCTACAAATTAGTGCAAAAATAAGTCAATTTGTTGACTTATCGCGAGTTTAATGCGAGTTTCTTGGTGATTCAAAGAAGTCACTTACCTTCTTTCTTGTTCTATATATTTGTTTACATTGGATCATGTGATTGCGATGTCTTTTTATATTGTGATGAACAAATTGCTGTCATCAGTTAATAATAAATAGATAAAGAGGATTTAGCTATCAACAGACATGAACGTGATTGGAAATATCGATATGCAATTTATGAGGTAAGCTTTGGTGTCTATTACTCTTTTTTCAGTCTACTGATACACTGGTAGCTGCACTTAACGCAACAAATTGGGGTTTCACTTAACGCAATTTTTAGGTGTCGCCATCTTTGGTATTTTATTGTTTTAGAGACTTTAATATGTAATTAATGCTCGACCTTGAAGATAATTGTATGATCTAATAGATGGCGACTATGGTAAAAATTGACCCATTTGTTGCGTTAACTGCAGCTACCAGTGTACTATTTTATTTTACAATTAACAGAGTTAACCAATCCGGATCTGCACTGGACCAGTCTTCTGGTGTTGTCGAGGAACACGGAAAATCCATGATAGAGACAAAAAGTGATGAAGTAGCCGACTAATTAGTTTAAGATCAAGATGTTGTTGAGGAATTTACTGAAGCTCCTAGTGTTCTACCGATCAACACAGATGATTTTCTGGTTGGAAATAAAACTACAGACTTGATAGAGATTGGTGATCTTATTCAACTTTCAGATTCATCAATAGATCCAAATGTATGTGAATCAAATGACCGATCAATCTGTGAATCTGGAACAGTTTAAACTAAAACAACAGATATGGTTATCGATATCGTAGCAGAGGATATTGAACTAATAAAATTTGATGACTCGATCCAGTTAAAATCAGAGTCTGGAAAAGATAATATGATAATTTTGATATCTGAAGATGGAGAGGAATCGAAAGAATTAAGCAATTCATCAAGTACAGAATTTCCTGAAGTTATTCAAGTGAAGATTAAGAAAATCAACAAGTTGGATGATGTCTTATGATGATATTGATGAGCTTGAAAATGGCCAAGGATCAAGTTATTGGATTAAACTAATTTTTCTCAAGTCTATTGAAAATAAGGACAAAAATTTCCACTCAGCAGTGCTGTTCGAAATTACCAAAAAAATGTCTCTTACAAAAAGTGGCTTTTACTGTTACGATTTCATTTCAAATCCAGTTTGATTTTGGAATTTGCTAATCAAACTATAAGTTCGTGTAATGTCTCGAACCTAACACTCATCCAAATTATTAGGTTTAAGGCTATTAGGTTTGAGATATTAAATGCTTTTTATGAGTTCGATTGAAAAATTTCAAAAATCATATTTATAATATTTCACCAAATAATGCTAAATCTAATCGTTCTAGCTTCCTACTTCCCTTGTTGAGTGTATTGAACAATGAATGGATGAATGGGAATGAATTCAAATATAAAAATAACGATTATTTAAAAATAAAGTTATAAAATAAAAGATTGCACTTTTTGATTTATTTTATACGAAAAGTAAACTTAATTTCATGAATTCTATATCCTTAATAAAGCCGAATGCAATACTCTCACGAAAATTTGTATGCGGATAACCCTGAAATCTCATAGACTGAAGCTGCTAAAAAGATGAAATTGAGTGTTTCGACCCTTACTCATATCAAGATGAAAAAATTAAGTATGAAATCAAGGGTTAAAGTGACCCAACTCAAGGCCAAGATTAGAACAACCAAATCAGTTGGTAAAAAATTCAGAAAGCTATACCATAAGAAAGGAAATGTTTTAAGTATGGACTGTGAAACTTATGCCCTCGCCGACCCAACACAAACACCCGCCAGACACTTTTATACTTACCCTGAGCCTGGAAATGTTTCAATTGAACATAAAATAGATCAGAAGAGCGAATTTCCAAAGCGGTTTTTAGTTTGATAATTTATCGATGAGTATGAAAATGTATCGGTCCATTATTCACAGAGTCGACGATGGCCTCTGATATTTATAAGAATTGTTGCCTTAAATCTATTCTATCAAAATACATGAAGAAATATCATTAAAATTCTCTTGTTTTATTCTAGCCTCAGATGGAAATGTTCACTACTCGAAACCGGTTATTGCTTGGTTAGCGGAAAATATCGATTTCGTTGGGAAGGACGAAAACTGTCCAAATTTTCTCAAGCTTGTCCTATTGAGAAGTTCTGGGCATTGTGCGAAGCTTAGTGTACCAATAAAAGAATACGGCCTCGATTCTCGAGAAATTAAAAAATTTTTGATGAAAATATCAAAAAAAATTAGCTAATCGGTTTGAACTTAATCTGATAAAAGGTTGAAAGTGTTGTAAACCTCAAAAAATTTAGTATCGAGTATTCAGTGTTTAATAAAGATTGAAATAATATAAAACAATATTTATCGGTTAAGCAATCAATTTTTCGTAAAAATTAATTCTATGTTAATTTCCACTATTTCTTAAAGGTTGTTTAATTTCAGATATGCTTACACATAAGTAATGTCGTCAGAAGGAACTTTGGAACCAAAAGTAATTTGAGATTGCTGAATAACAAATTTCTTACTATTAATCCTAAAGATACATTCAAAAGAGTATGAAATCATTTCCTTGGCTTGTTTCGGTGGAAAGATTGAAAATCAATTTATTTGAAAGTTTTTGGCCCATACTGGTACCTGTGAAATCACCAAGAGAAGATGCTGTTGGTTTGCTTGTAAAACCTAAATTTAATTGCTTAGTTTAGCGAATCATCAATTGTTGATATTGGGCGAATTCATTATTTATAAAAAAGCAACGTTTATATCAGGGAATTTACATATTGACTCTTAAACAGCTAGGCTGGATCAAGAGAAAATTTATTTATTTTACAAATAAATTTCTTAAAAACATTAAATCATATTAATTAAACGATTTATTATTCATTAATTTTCAAGTGCAATATATCTTATATTGTTTACATGATTGATCCAACTTGACCCATATTTCGGTGATACCACAAAAATTTAGATATCAATATGGGAGACCAGCTTTCTCTCGACATTTTTGCATTAACGCACGAAGCATGAATTGTCTTCTGGATAATTCACGTACATTTTTAAGGAAAGCCTCTAAATCAATGACACCCTTTCTTCGAGCTTCACCTAAGTAATATATGGCATCAACAGTTGCATTTTCCTCAGCAAAGGCATTTAACAATTGTTTATAAAGAGGTTCTTGAGGACCAAACGCATCGTCTATGGCATTGACTTTTTGTTCATTTTCAAGTTTGACGATCAGTTCATCGATCTGAGCACTTTTTAATGTAAGTGTTTTCTTACAATTTTCCAGTTCAATTTTATCATTTTCCATTCGTTTCATCAGCGATTCCAATTTATTTTTACCCCGAACTAAGTCTTCTGAGTATTTGCCGAGCACTTCATTCTCAGCATATGATCTACCCAATCGTTCTCTTAATCTTTCTTTAATTTTATCGTTAACTGCAGTAATCAGGGAAGCTCGGATGTGTTCTTCAGTAATTGTTCTTGAATTTTGGGAAGGTGTGGATGCTTGGCTGTTAACTTGTGGATTATATCCTGTTGATGGTGGGTAACTAGGATAATTAGGATATGATGGATTTGAGAGTGCATAAGGTGGATCCGCGCTGGGAAAACTGCTATAAGGATATGAGGTTGGATAGGGTGGATTACCACCGGAATAAGATGGAGAGGCTACAGAGGTTGAAACAGGTGGCAGGGCAACAGTGGCTGATGGACCAGGTAGTGCAGAGTAAGTTTGAGTTGGATAAGGAGGTTTGTTGTAAGATTGTTGCTGTTCCAAAGGTGAGGTCTTAGGCTTTTGATAGACTGGAGGAGTCTCTCCAAATATAATTATCATAACTTGAATAGCTCCGAGAATATCACTGGATTCAGCCTTCCAATCTGATAGATAGGGTAAATAAATTTTACCCTCATTGTCAACGTACTTTGATGCTTTTATTGCCATCTCTGGTGTTGGCCGGACATAGCACATTGGTGGTGAATAAGGATGATCTTTTTGCACAAAAATACACACAGGAATATGATAAGTACTGCCCTTAAATGAGATTGGTATGGTACCATTTAGTGTAACCAACTCTTGATCTTTACCACCAGGAAAGGTATATTTTTCCAATTTAGGCTGCAATCCATGATAGAAACTAAAAACATTAACAATATCTTTTTTTACCTGGGTTTGGTACTTGTATTTGCAGCTTGCAAGCATCCTCATCAAATTAGAATCCGACATTTTTGACCCAATGGTATTATTTAAAAACACAAACGAAACAAACTGATGATTATGATATTGTTAAAGATGACAGTAAAGAGTAGCAAGCAAGAGATAACTCAGTGTTATTAAAACATAGATTTAATGAAAAGATTTCTCTCCCTAACGTAAAAGCCAACATTAAAGAAGAAAGAGACAGAAGTAATAATAACATAAAAAATAGGTTAAAATAGCTTATTCTCACTATTCAACGGGCAACTTAATTTTTGACTCTCAATTTCGCCATCTATTACAGATTAGTTCATCTCTAGTTAATGTAGAGAGTTTAAAATTGGTCAATACTGACAATTAAGTCCCTAATATCAATAATTTAAAATCAAATCAAGCCAGAATAAAGAGTCATTCCAATAACTGGTATAGCTCAAGCTTTACATGAACCTTAATAACAGTCATATCAGTATCTTCTCAGTTTTCAGATGATCACTGAAAATACAGAACAATTAATGAGATTTGAAAGCTGATTACTTACGATGAAAAATTTGAGCTATCATCAAACCATTAATTAAATTTGCTTCCTGACAATTCTCTAGACAACTATTGAAAACCAAATATGTTCATGAATCACCTAAAAGCTGGTACTTGATGGATGGCTAGTGAATCATAATTTTGAATTACACTCAATGAATGAATCTAAACACTTGATCCAGATAACAAATGTAAATAAGAAATTAAAATTAAAATCAATTGCGAAAAGGAAACACCAAAGGCACAAACGGATCATATGAAAAGTAAAAGTAGTAATTTTCAATAAAAGGTTTACCTTGATAAATAATATTAAACGCACATAACAAACACACGACAAGGTTAGCGATGGTTAAGTGTACAATTAAATTACAAGTCAGATGAGAGATCGATAAAAAAATCATGAGACTAGTTACTTAATTAATAATCAAAGATGACAAAACACTTTTAATACAATAAAAGGCAAACAAAAACACAAATTTAGATTGAAAATGTAAATATTTTCACTATGCTGATGTAGAAGTAAAAAAATTAAAAACAAAATAATTTGATAACAAAATATAATTAAGGGTTCTTAATAAATTCAATTGTTATTAATGGATAAATTAAGTAAATAAAGTCATTTGATCAAAACAATTGATTAGCTTTACTTGCTACTTTGGCTGTGAGCTCCATTAATGTCCATTAAATAAGCACACTAGCTATTTTCACCTCGACCTACACTTTCCCTCTTAAAAACAAATTACACCTTTCTCTATGTAATTGATTTCGTTTCATTTTTTAAACAAAACAATTAATTAATCATGTGCTCTTTTGTTTTGACTCTGATTTTTTGTGTATAAATAGTCGTCTCAGGTATTCAGTTGATCATCAGTTGAATTAATCAAACCAAGTGAGTAAGTTAACAACATTTATTGATATATTTCTTTGTTTACCCCTTTAGACGTACACAGCCATTTTTAAGCCACCAACATGTCTGCTGCTGAAGTAACCACTAATGTTCCCTGTTGTGAGGAAACTCATTGTGAGGAAAAAATTTGTGTGGAGCCCGAGAAGTGTCATGATGATTCTTGTGAAGCTGGCAAAGATGATGTTGGACAAAGCCATGAAGAGGCCCACCAAGCAGAGGAAAATTGTGATCACCAAGAGAAACCTGATGCTTAAAGATGGAAAGAGATATTTTGAAGAGTCATCAGAATGATCGTCATCACCATTATTATACAATTACGAGACAAAAAGGACAGCCTGAATGACTGAATCCATTTCCAATGGCCTTTCAAACTTCATCTATTACCTTGCAACCTTTCATCTAATTGATGGTATCATCTGATACTTCTGTTGTGCCTTATCTTTACTATACCTTTACTTAATGTTATTTCCCTTGTTCAAATTTTGATCCAACTTTTACTTCTTCTTCTATTTTAGCCTAATTTCCTATTATTTCCTCTTCTTTCTTGTTTGCATTAATCATGTTTTCCTCCATGTAAACACCATCAATATATAATATGCTTAGCTTAAATAGTTGATCAATCTAATAAATAATTTCATTTAGTTGATTCCTACTGTGTTTTTCTTGTTCATATGTTTGGATACGTTGATCGCGATTCTTAAAATACCCTTGAAATGTTTAGGAATAGGAATAAGCTTGATAATCAAATTTAAGAAAATATGATAAATGAAAAATATATATTTTCATCTATTAACCTAATTAGGTTAAATGAAAATATGAACAAAGGTCCACTTATTTTTGGACTGAGAGAAAGCCAATTTATCCATAACTTTATTAAATGTTAAATTGGATTGATTACTTAACAATGAGTTAAACTAATCGGTCCAATTATTAAACTTACGCGGCTCTTACTATTAACTGTAAGCTTTCTGTCAAACTAATAAACTGTTGCCCTATCTTCAATATAACAGCTCTATTGATGGATTTCCGTGTTTAAAAGTAAACCTAGTTGTTGATGTATCATCATTGTTGAGTTAAATTGTCTCCAGAAATATAATGATTGTTGGTTGTGATGAAAATGAAGCAAAATTGAAGGGAAGATATTCCTTGTGAAAGATGATAGTAAATACTATTTAATTGGAATCACATGATAATAAACGATCGAAGTTTAATGTGGAATGAAATAGTTAACAAGTTTATATTTTGATTGCAGAACAGGCAACAAAATTGAATCTCTTTTCTAACATGAATTGGCTTTATATTTTAATTTTTGTGTTGACCATAGTTTACTTACCATGGGGACAAACATGGACACCAGCTCCTAATTTAACTGAATCAGATCTTGACTATGTTCCAGAATGTAGTAAGTGTGAACGTGTTCGTTTAATTGGCTGTAAACGAGGTAATTGTTTCTATCGATGTACTCGCCGTTGTTTGGATATTAATGGAACTGCTTATCACGGTAAGTAGCAAAGTAGAATTTGATTACAATATAACATTTATATACAAGAAAAAACATTATATTATTCATCTTTCCAGAGGCTGTTCGATTCATGCTCAATGGAACTTAACTAACCATGGATAAGTTCTATCAGCAAATACATAAAAAATACTGGTTTGCTCAGTATGTTCATCAATTAAATTAAACTAACGAAAGAATAGAATAATAGAATGATAGAATAGACTAAAAATGAAAATATTATAACAACAATCAAAATGACATTTCCGTAACTTTCTGAGATGTTGGCTGTGATGGATAGGCAGTTGAAGATGACGAGGTAACATCTGCATCATCAAAGGAAGCTGAAAATCCACAATTTAGAAGTGATTTAACTTGCTTAAATTTGGCTCGAATGGCTTCCAGTGTCTTAAGGGAGTCCTCTTCGTGAATATTTGTTCTATGAAAACGCCGCGTTGATTCCAACAAGCTTTTAAGAGCAATCAGTTTCCTCTGCTTTGAGCTTTCATCTTTTTCCAAAATACGTATCCAGGCATGAACAAAACCTTGATAGAAGCCTATCTCTGCAGCAATTTGTGCACCTCTTCGAACTCCATATGAGTAACCATCTCTCCAGCCAGCTTCCTCACCAATACTATAGCCTCTTTTGAAGCCCATTTGCCGGAATTCGGCGAAACAAGAATCGGAAGGTAAAGACATCCTAAATTAATATACAGTTTATCACACACAAAAAGTAAACATTTCGGTGTACAGATGATATTTCTTGATGATCACAAAAAAACAAAATCTTAACATATCGTAAATAACCATTGCCACCTATTGTCTTTATTGTAAGTTACATCAATAAAGTTAAAAATATACCTTGACCCATAATGCCATCTATTGAGGGAATAACATCAATCTAAATTGTCATACAATATATTTATTTCAGAGAGTAATTAACATATGCTATGAATTTTCAATGTTTTAATGTTTGTTCTTGAGTTAAAATTCATAATCAGATGATGGGCTACGGTTAGTTGTAAATTGACAAGGAAAATTAGATTGAACAAGATTCATCAAAAATTGGCAATCAACTTAATTTTCATCTCATCTTACAAAAAAACATTGTACAACACAACGCTAAATAAAAAATTAATAATTAAATATAAAAAATCAATAGTGAACGACTAATTCAATGGATTAAAGGTAAATGTTAGTTTTATTGTCAAAACTTTCAAAAATATCCAAAATAAAGGTATCACAGTATTGACAAAGTGTGCAATTGAACAAAAAACTTAAAATACGTTGACTCACAATTGTCAGAATTAAGTCTTAATTATCTTTCCAGAATATATTAACATTGTATATTGTTAGCGACAGCAATAAAATATTGGAAGCCTTGCACAGCGAGATTCCCTTGTAGTTGCGATTTCATAACCATTAATTAGAAATGATGAATTTAGTCTTGCTTTAACCATTAAATTTGTATTGCTCGTCATCATTTATTCATCAATAGATTATGTTGATTGTGATTAAGATGGTTGAAAAGACTCCAGTTCAAACAGCAGTTCAGGAAATAGCAAAGAAAAGCAAATTGACATTCATTGTTGTATAGTAAACCATTTTGATAATACGACTATTATTTTGAGCTTTTAAACGATAAATACGAGCAATTTGGGTCCAATCATTTTTCTCCTTTATTTTCTTTTAATTAGCAAGCCAAAGTTAACTAGTATCATTGATTAGCTTCCTGATGATTATTTCATTTCCATGCTGTGATCGGTTCAGCGTTTACGAAAAGTTTGATTGATTTTAGTTCAAGTTGAGATGGTGAAATTGAAAATTTGAGAAAAATATGATGAAATTAAGAGTATGATGATTTGTTATTATATCAAACACCATGACCAATTACATTGTCCGGTTTCAGCATCGATTTCTTGCCATCCTAATTATTTCCGGATCATTTCAATTAAAAGAGCAGATCAACGCTAATCATAATCCCAGTCACAATGTTGATTAGGTTTCTTCTGGTTATTTGTTCATTGACTCCAACAGTTTAACAATGAGCTGTACCAAAAATTAACCAAACAATCAGCTTTCCTCAATGGTTATAAAGTGAAAAAAGACAACAGTTAGTAACAACCAAAGTGAAATCAGCTTAATTCAATAGTATAATGTATTTTTCATTATGGGAATCAAAGTCATTTGTCATAGTAAATTTAACATTTGGATTTACCTCAACCATTTCCTCATCATGATTAGGCATACCCAGCAAAATCTGAGTTTCCCAAGAATCTTGTTCATCTAATGTCATTTCATTTTTGTCAAAAATGACAACTTTCACGGTCGAAATTAAATCATCATAAAGTTGACAACCTTTTCACCAAAAAAATATCACTGGGTTCGTCAGACTCATCCAAATGCCAAATCAAACAAAATCAAGTGTAGATTGTTCACCATGTTGAACTGAGAAACTATTTGTTGATTAAAATGGTATCCATTAAATTTCCAGTTAGTCCCAGCAATTAAAATATCTCAATAATTGTAATATGGTCACCATTTTCCAGTTAATAATTTGTCACCCTACGATCACGGAAGCTTTACTACCAGTTTTCAATGTATGATGAATAACAAGTGAAACGAGTCAAACCAGGATTTAAACAAATAACTGATAAACTGAATTAATTCAACATTAACACTAAATTGACATTAAAAAGCAATAAACATCAAATTAAAACTAAATCAAAAAAGACGTTAAATGTAACGGTTAGACAAAGGAGTGCACCAGCTGATGTCTCGCTGTTACTAGGTTACTGGTTACCAATGGTGAAAGGGTAACAGTTTCGTTAGAGATACGTCGGTTACAGGCTAGTTTGGTTAGTATAACCAGTAACTGTGGTTCTTTCACCCCCAGTTACAAATAACCGGTTACTTGCTGGTTACAAATTTCTTACCGCCAAATTCAAAAATAAAAAGTTTAATTTTTCATCTTTTATCAGCGCCATCTATTAATGTATTTAGAAAGTTGTTGTTTACTTTCTTTACTTTCTTTTCAAATTTCCCTCTCAATGTAACCAGCAAGTAACCGGTTATTTTGTAACCGGTTATAGTAACTGGTTATAGTAACCATACTTGGTTACTTTTCTCCCCCTCTAACCAAGTAACCGGTTACCAGTAACCAACTGGTCTCTAAGTTTCGTTTTACGGACAAAGGGCGGAGCAATTATATAACACACTTTTGTTACCCAATAGACAACTTGCTTAATTTATTTGACAACACAAAGGGCTAACATAATAAGAGCAACACAAGTCCAACATTGTTTTGAACCTCATTCCAAGTGATTCTTCACCAAAATAATTAAATTTAAAACAAAATTCATTCAAATAATCTTCTTTGTTTGTTGCCTTCGTTTCCTTCGGAATATTAGCTTTAACGCTCCTCCAAAATCTTTCTACTCTTTGAGTGTTAATATTTTTGTCCATTGGATTAAGCCAGTTTTTGCTATGGTTCACTTCACCATGGATATATCCTAATTTTGACAAATCAAGGTAACCTTTCCAACAGTCGGTATAGATAGTAGTTCCTGGTTTTACCCAGAATTTGATAAGCTCATTGAGAGTTGGTTTATCTCGCTTCTTAACTAAAGAAAGAAAACATTTTTTTGAGCCTCTCTCGATTCCACCAACTATCCATGTTCCTGTTATTTGGTCAGCTAAAAGTCTACCGACATTACTTTTCCTTTTAAATAATAGACTTTCGTCAATTTCGACGATTTTACCTTCTCCACCAATAGCATCACGATTATTTACCCAATGGTCAATAGCAACTTGTCTAATTTTTTTCTTGTATTTACACACTGCAACACCACCAACAAGAGTAAAATCCTTAATGGTCGTGTTTTTACTCTCAGAGCACCATAAAAAAATTATTGCTAAACTGTCCATGATTGAGAGGTGAGAGGAATCGAACCAAGTTCCAGTAGTAGGGCTAATTTTTTTGTAACACTTATTACATCTGTAGATATAGTTGAATTTAGATGTTGGACAATTATTTTTTTTCATTTTACCTGCACAGCCATTTGTTCTAATACAATTATATTCGTCCTCTGTAGCTATCAATTTGTGTGTTAAAACAAAGGTCAAACCTGGTTGAGTGTCTTCAGGTTGAGTTAATTTACTAACAAAATTAAATGGAGTCAAACTCGAGAAAAAATCACCAGAAAAAGACATTACTGTGATAGTTAAATCAAAAGAAAATAAGAAAGGAAACTAACAATCAGACGATATCCTTCTATTCAACATGTGCTTTGTGTTTCTACATTTTTTGTTGTTAATTTTGTTTGTTATTATTTTATATTAATTTGTGATTAATTATATTTCTACTTTACATTATAAAAATTATATAAATGTGTTTAAATCACCTTCTCCCATTGGATAACAATTTAAAAGTCTTACCAGTTACGCCTTTGTCCGTAAAACGATAGTGTTACCGGTGAAAGTAATTTGTCCAATCATTGTAACAATAAACTCGAAAATGTATTAATTGTGAAAATGTAAAATCTTTACCATGATTATCATTAAACCATGGTGTTAATGTGAACTATTATTGACCTGAATAGACTAATTTCAAGGTCTGAAGTTTGAAGGCAACAACAATCAAAGATGCAAAATGAATGGGAAAAACTGTTGTAATCGGGAAACAATTGATTCCTTGTTGAGAGTTAAGAGGCTAAACAATGAGTTGAAGAAACCATTGTAGATTGATGATGAATGGGAAATATATGAATATTGAATTGTACCAATTGTAATTATAATCATCACTATTAATATGGTGATGAGAAAAGGAAATGATCGCTACAAATTATGATATCATTCATACTCAATCTTATTCATGATGTAATGTTGAAGTGATGATGATCATGGTTAGGGAATAAAGTAGATGAAAAGAAGCAATTCATTTTAATTAACAGCAATTTTTGCTTTTCATTTACATCAAGGTTGAAAATCAATTGAAAAATCAATGGAAAAGTCAATCTAAAATTGTAACATTTTTCACTTTTTAAGAGCACTTTTTTATTCAGCTTTCAATTGATTTTTACAATACAAATGATCTTGACTCAATGAATAATTAGCTCAAGAATTAAAGCATTTAAAGCTTTTCAAGTCTAACCTTGATTAAAGATCAAATAATTTGAATAGATTAAACAATTTACACTTTAAACGTTTCAGTCTTTTCAATCATTTGTTAATTGTTGACTGATTGACTCTGCAAAAAATTGGGATCCATTTGAAATTTGAAACATTCAACAGTTTAAACAGTTTCATTTGTATTTTGATTAAAAATTTGTGGCTTGAAGCTTGATTACCATTGAAATCGGTGTAAAAGTGTGTATTATGTTTGATAATCATGCAAATTCATTGTAAACATCTTTTGATAATGTCAATCATCCGAGTAAAATACATTTTGATATGTAAATTGTGACGCTTGACTATAAGTTTACCAACAGTTAATTTGATTAACCTAAAACACGCAAGCAAGTGTTGTCATTGTAATGATAATCGCGAGCACAATTTACTTGATTACTTAAAGATCCGTAGACCAAACAAGGAAACGGCAAAAAATGAATCAAATGGTTTACAAGGCAAAAAAAGTATAATCAACCTTTTAGTTAACAAAACAGGAGCAAAAATCCGAGTCAATAAACTTTGAGAAAGGAAACTTTCAATTTTACTAATAATTTAAAATTCATAGCGCAATTTAGAGTGCAATTTAAATAACAAACATAAACCATTAAACAGTGAACTGAAAGCAGAAATAAATGTTTTGATTTTTTGCTAAATTTCGATACAAATCTTCATTGAAATATTAGATGAAGATAAAGGTTACGAGGTTGGAAATCAGAAGTGACTTCAGAAATTGACATCAATTGATATTTCGTCGTTTTTTTCGTTGTCTATCTTCTTGTATTGCTTTGCCATGAGTTTGATTGTGAATTGCAGTATCATGTCCACTCTTCTCGATGTTTTCCTGCTTTCAAGTGTGAAACCGAAGCGTTTCAACCATTCTTATGTTTTATCGTTCTCGTCTTAAGAAAGTAAAACCATCGAATAATAGTATTTTAGATTGAAGAAGCTCTTCCATTAACGCGAATTTAAACTTGTATCTGTATCACAACAGTTCAAGCTTGGCCTAGCTATTGCTTCCTCAGTAAATTTACTGATTACTAAAATCTTTTTCTCGAATTTCTCGACTTTTCGAAGCAAATCAAAAACAGTTAGTCACTAATGTTCGGATAACTTAACATTTCCAGGATTCACTCCAAACTTATCCAGAGCTTCCAGTTTAATGAACAAAATTTTTTCCAATTTTGGTATTTTTTGACGATTTCAAATGCTTGTTGAATCAAAATATCTTAATTTTGATCAGATATTTTGAGTTCTTCAGTCGGTGCATGCAAGTCTAAGATCCATTGAAGTCTTCAGTTAATAATGTTATTTAGCAGCGATTCTTGGAGATAAAATAGATTTGATTGTCGATCTAATGAATGGCGAAGTTTGATGTTAAAATTAAATGTGAATTAGATTGAATTTTGTGTATTATATGGTGAACATTAGAATGAGTTAATTGAGATTCTCAATGTAATTAGATTTGTCCACTTTCTTTCAGATTCTCACATTAAAAGCTAAATACTGTAAATAAAGGGTTCCAATAATGATAATAATAAAATTGTTAATTTGTTTGTTGACAACTTTTGGCTTCATCTTTGATAATATTTTCATCAAAAATTGAAAATCTCATGTTTATGATGATTAGTCAATCAAATTACAATTGCACTGAAAGCATTTCACAGAATTAAAATGATTATCACTTTAATCACTAATTAATCGTAATCATCATCAAGTTTAGTTGTCACCATTTCTGTGTTAATCATTTTAATTGTTCAACATTTTTGTTCCTGTTCATTGTTTGTCTTCATCTTGTGTTCATGCAACACAAACTGATTATCCATTTCATGACAGAATTTCTCATTGATTTCATCTAACTTAATCTAAGACAATTTGATTATCTTCCAACACCTTAAGCAGTGTCCAATTTCACAGTCAACACTTGAATCACAATCAAGTAAACACTTTGATCAAAGATTCAACTTGTAAATTGAGAAGCAATTTTCATTGATTATCATCCAAACATTAACATTTTGAAGTCGATTGCTGGACTTATTAAAAATGTAAAGTCTATAAGATTCAAGTTCAACTTAAAAGTGATTACTTGAGGATAAATTGTTGATGTTTATTATAATTAATCCTGGCTCTTCTTGAGTTGTATCGTTTGAATTTAAAGTCACATTTATCATTTGATAACAGACTACAATTAAACTGGTACAATTGTTACCTCAATTAATAAAGCTTAATAAGGATTGATGTTGATTAAGTAAAGCTTTTTTAAGAGGTTTTCCAGCTATTATCAAGTCAATCTTTTAATCATTATGTTGCTTTTAAGATTTTGTTTTAGGGTTTTGTGATCAAAACAAACGATAAATCAAATGTCATCAAATTGACCCTTTGAGCTTAAAAAGGATGACCATAAAGTTTGGACAAAAGGCACTTGGCATTTAATGAGTGATACAATTGAAGGTAAAGGGAAATTTGAACAATTAGTGAATTGTTCAAAGGTACATCTGAGTAAATTAATTATATATCTTTGATACAATTTAGTCTCTCAATCAATAGGTTACGAGTAGAAAAATAGAGAAATGTGAAAAATCTAAGGTTTTTGCTGGTGTCCAAAGATGCTTGGATTAAAGTTGATTATGATAATTATGATGATTAACCAATTGATGGTGAGATTGATGATTAGTTTGATGAAGGTTAAACATGGCCGCGATTTGATGAGCAAATTGATTAGCAAGTGTAGACAAAAAATGTTGTTGTTTTTGATGATGTTGGTGAAGATGATATATTATTTTTGATGAGAATAATCAAGAATTTTGATCCCCCCTGAAATAAATTGAATAACAACAGAAACTAAAACATGTTGAGAAATGGATTGATGATTGTTGTTGTTTTTATGATGAAAGATGAGTATTTGAGAAGATGATTATGGTGATTAACGGGGTTAATGAATGAGATGATGGAATTATAATTGAAAATTGTTAACAGAGAAAGCTGCCGGATGAAATGATGTTGGTGAAGGCATTGTCAGCTGTTGCATTGATTTATGGGATCGACCTGTTTTGGTTGAATACTCAGAATACCTTTCCGGATCCGGAATTGGCATGTTATTGGGCATCAGCATGACGGGTTGAAGGTTCATTGATTTTCTGCTT